ATGTCGCGGCCATGCAGCTACTGTTGATTTGTATGTACGTTGCAGACCTGGAAGGGAGTTGAAGTATGCAAGAGATCAGAGCTGAACCGAACAATATTTCCAGATCGGGAAATGCAGAGCCTCATGTTGGATCCTAATGCACTTCAGCCCCGAACACCACACATGTACGAACCTCACCTCAGCCGATTTGATTTCCAACAGTTCCTATAAAATCATCAGTCAGTGCCAGCCAGCCATGTCCACCATCTCCTCCCCTCTGTACTTTCCGGAAGAAACTACAAAATGCCACCAGTAAGTCCCAGCTCACACCCACACTCCCCACCCACTAACCCCCCCCAGCTCCCCCCCCGCTCATCCTCCTTCACCGCCGGCATCACCGCCTGGCTCGACAAAGTCCCCGCCCACTGGCCCCATCGCCTCATCCACATCCCCACACTAACCTCCACCCCCCGCACCGGCACCTCCACCTACGGTACCACCACCTGCCCCTCCTACGGCATCCTCACCTACACCTGGGGCCGCTGGAAAGACCGTTCCCCCCACCCCACCCCCGCCGTCCCCATCTCCGGAACAGACTGGCCCATCCCCTCCGTAACCCCCGACCACTTCACCGTCGAGGCCTTCCTAAAAGTCATCGCGCGAATTGGGCAGGAGGTGGAATGGGTGTGGATCGATGTGGCGTGTATCGACCAGCGGGACGACAGTGCGCAGAAGGCGGAGGAGATTGGAAAGCAGGTTGGGATTTTCCGGGGCGCGAAGTGTTGTTTTGTGTGGCTGTCTCGCCTCAGTACTGCCGAGCTGAGTGAGGGGTGGGGACGGGTATTGGGGGAGAGTTGTCGGCTGCAGTTTCATGGCGAGGGGGATGCGAAGTTGGGGGATCCGGATGAGGCGCTGGGGGAGATCTTGCCCGCGCTGCTGAGGGCGTTGGAGGGGCTGTTTAGGGACCCGTGGTTCTCGTCGTTGTGGACGTTGCAGGAGGCGATATTGAGGAATGATGCGTTGGTGCTTTCGCATGAGGCTGATACGATTGCGTTGGAAGAGGAGGGGGGGGAGGCGTATTTGGCGATTTTGGTGAGCTATTGTAGTAATATTCGGAAGGATTTGCTGCGGATTGCGGAGAGGAGGAGGAGGGCGTTTATGTTTGGGCGGAAGCATGGGATTGATCAGCTCATCTCGCAGGTGCTCGAGAAGGTGCATGAGGTGGGCTTGATCTATCTTGTTGTTGATAATCCGAATATTCAGTATGGAGCTGCGCGGTATCGACAGACGAAACGGCCGCTGGATCGGATTTATGGGATTACGCAGATTTATGGGATTGCGATGGGGGAGGCGAAGGAGTTGTGGGAGTTGCAGGATCGGTTTGCGGGGGAGATTTGTAGGAGGTGTCCGGTGCTGGGGCAGTTGTTTGTGCATATCAAGAAGCCGGCGCCGGGCGATTCGTGGAGGATTACGGAGTTTTCGAGTGTGCCGGAGGATCTGAGGGACTATCCGAGTGCTGTTCCGAAATGCACGATCGAGTTTAGGAAGCATCACGATGTGCTCTTTACTGGCAAGAGCATCCTCCTCGTCGATTTCTTACAGCAATGGGCCCAGTGGCTCCAGAAAGCCAGCGCCGACAAGAAGAACTATTTCGACCGGCATCCAGAGTTTCTCTACAGCTGCCTTAACCTCCATATCGATGATGCTGCGGAGGAAGAACGCACCATGTCCTACAACCCATACAGTCCCGGTGCTGCCAAACGGGATGAAGTTGGGAAGCTTAGGTTGCCTTCTGTTTTGAAGCAGGTTCGTGGGTATGGAGACTTGACGGAGACGTTGAGTGAGAGTTGGTGTGCTGGTACGAAGGTGTCTGATGTTGCCGTCTTGTGGTTGGGGACGCGGAACAATAAAAAGGCCGTGTCTTTGAGGGAAAAGAGTAATGAGGTTGGATTGCTTGCGAGGATTGTTGATGGGAAGAAGTATGGGTTTGAGGAGGGATTGTGTTGGGAGAGGTTGGGAGTTGTAACTTGGTATCCTTTGGCTGCGTTTGGGGAGGTGGGGAGTGGATTTACAGAGGGGCTTGAGTGGAAGGAGGAAGAGAGGAAATTTTTGTAGGGAAGTAGTAGAGCAAGTGGAGGGATATGAATATCACATACAATAGGTATGCCCACGGTAGGCCTCTCTGATTCTTTGTGAACTGAAAATGTATTGATTGGAGAAAGGCGAACGCAACGATGTAGCAATCAGATCTATCAAACAAGTTAACCAGGCAAATAGGAAAGAAAGCAAGAAGATGGACAATCATTCCCTCTAAGAAACCCTTAAGCCACATCCATTCTATGAGTCCTCCAAACATCATCCTCCTCATCAGCGCCACCATCCATCCTCCCAGTTTCCTCGAAATACTTTTGGAAGTGCTTGTTCAGTAGCAATAGTGAACAATACAAGCTTCCAATCCATACCTCCCACTACTGATAGCGCCTCGGACGCGGTGGAAGATCGAATGGTTTTCCCAAGCCTCTATCTCGGGCCCGCCGTTCCTCCTCATACCGCTCCCATGGTTCCTCACGACGTGTTCTTCCTGTAAATTCAGTTGGAGCCTCTGGGAAAGATGGGCTGACAGGAGACCTATATCCGTCCTGCTGATGTCTACCACGGGTAGAATCGTAAACCGGAGTAGTTGGCGTATTATTCACTGTGCCTTCCTGAGAGTCAACGCTGTGAAAGATATCTCTACTTGGCAGGTAGGAAGGTGGCGGTAGTTGCGGAGGGACTGATGAAACAGCAGGAATCGAGGAAGCCCGCGCTGAGGGTCTTCTACTCGACGTACTTCGGCTTGCGCGTCTGCTTAGGCTGCGTATGCTTTCAATTGATTTGATCTTTTCAATACCCCTCTCAACACTATGCTTGAATGCTTCGATTGGTTTAATGAGGTTAGCAGAATTATTCTTTCTTCGCAGTGAAGAGATCGGGCGATATGGGAAGGGAGCTGGAGGTGTTACTTACTTGGGGGGCAGATGCCACTCCCTCGGCGTGAGTAGTCTGGCACATACGGATTGGTATCGCGAGATCCTTCGCCGTGGTAACGAGGCGACGGACTTGGAGGGCTAGGATCCGGTCTTCGAGTAGCCGGATTGAAAGGTTCTCGAGGATCGAGGGCTCTTGACCTGGACCGATCCCTACTAGTAACCTCGACCATTCTGTAATCGTCCCAGGCCCGTCCGTCTCGTCTCGGCATTCTTTAAAGAGTAATGCGTGGTAAACTGAGGAGTGATGCGATGTTCTTCTTTTCTGTCGAGATAGTTCTTGTAGACAAAGTAGAGACCAACTGAGTATGTCTTTCTGAAGAGTGTGAGGATGATTCCGATTGAAGACAAAGACCTATGCCTTTTATACCTTCGAAGACATTTTTGGCGTTTTCCATCTTGTAGCCTTCGTTTCCACAGATTCGAGTGATGTTGTTTGTCCAGGTTCTTTTCCGAGTAGTAATCCGTTATGCTGAGCTCGTCAACGTGGATGATGGCCAGGCATCTCTTTCGTTCTTTTCAAGCATGTTGGACCTGTCAAGAGCTGGAAAGAGACCATCACAGAGCCAGGATGTTTGTGTAAGAAGAAAAAAAACCGCTTGTGACGAAGTTGGTCGTAGACATCGTTTCCTTTCGTCGAAGCTGTGTTGCGTGTTGATTAGACTGGCCATTTCGACAGGCATTCTTGCTAACCGACGAACTCAGGATAGCAGGATCTGGTCCATAGTAGGCTGGATGTATGTGCGAAGGGGTGAAGTTGAGATGAAGTTGTGTCAACGTTGAGTTTAAGATGAGGAGCAGCTGCCGTAGAATCCGCAAAAGTTCCTAAGCATCCGCAGGACTTTTCTGAAACGTTTGTCTCTCGGTGCTTTCAATGGTCAGCTTGGAAGGGAGGCTTTTGCAAACTTACAGCAGGGATGTCAGTGCAAACGATGAAGTATGTTGAGACCTTATGCACCTTCCCGTCGTTAGCGTCTCAAGTGGTTTTATACCAGTTCGTTGTTTAGAAACTCTAAACAAGAAAAGTTGTTTATATTCCGACCGTATAATGCGTTAAACAGTGCCAAGTCCAAGGAAAGAAGCAAGCGGACCCGTCATAAACTAGTTTAAAACAAGCGTATGCCGCAAGACTCTCGAGATTCTACGACGAGACGTCACCACAATCAAGACACGACTACTTTGTTGGATTGATGAAAATAGTCTAAGTCGAACTTTTAAGTTCTGATGAATGGTCGCATACGGCCATAGATTGAAGAATATACGGGATCCCGTCCGCTCTCGGGGATTGGGTGGGGGGTGGAGGGTGGGCGAAATCAAGCAAGTGAGAGCCAAGTTATACTGCGGTTGAGTGTCAAGCAACGAAACTTGCTGGCAGTAATGTTCGTACGGGATCCCATCCGCTCTCCCATGGGGTGGAGGGTGGGCGATAAGACAGCTTATTCTCGCCAGTTAATTAGTGGGGGGTTGCGTAGGACCCATGGACATTAATGATGAGAGACGTGATTAGTATTATGTTTCAAACTCTGGCTTCGCTGTCACATACGGCCATAGATTGAAGAATATACGGGATCCCGTCCGCTCTCCCATAGTCAAGCTTCTAATCGCCAAGTTAGTACTGCGGTGGGTGACCACGCGGGAATCCTTGGTGCTGTATGTCTTTTTGCCTTGATCTTGACCATCTTTCCGTCTCCTCGTTAGATTTATATCTTAAAGATACTACGGTGGTGGCCACTTGGTACCGGTTCGCCATCCTCTACTCCCCGTCTATGTTTGTTTTGGTTCGACTCTCGTCACAAGCAGTTTATTTTTGCTCTAAAAACGAAGTTTTACAATACACGCAAATAAAGCATTATATTGTTTAGTATGAAGTAATTCAACTAATCCTTCCATTTGCACTTCAATCAAAGTTAACTTTCAAATGAATTGATCAATAAGAAGTACCTAAGTACTTCTCTTACAAGCAAGTACCTGTATAAGAATGTAGCAGATCCCGGCTCGGTCCCTAATTAAATATACTCATATCGATATCCTCCAACCTAAACCCATCCTCCTCCCTCTCACCAGTATCCCTTGTTAGGCTTGTAGTACCAATTCCATCCCTAGGATGAATCTCCATATCCAGCCTATACGACCCATATATCATACACCGGGAATCAACGACATGCTCATATTCATCCAACCCAAGCAGGCTTTTAACCCAGCGTCGAAGTCCCGAATCCAAGCAAGCCTTTCTCCATTTCCAGCTTTGAAATCCGACAACCTCACCAGTAGCAGCGATTGCGATTGGTGACCCAGTTCGCTCCATGACTGAGCCAGCTGTTCTCCAGAGCATTGATCTTGAAAACAACTTCACCACGGCCTCCCGTTCTGGATGGCCTTCTTCAAGCCTGCATACGGATGCATAATTCTGAGTCTCTTTTTCACCAAAGCGGACTTTTCGTACGATGGCTTCTCCAATGGAGATGCCGAGCAGTGGCGGTGACGGTAGCTGTTGCGAAGATTGAGGATATGAACGAGCTTTGGGGGCTGCGCTTGTCGTCAATGTTCGCAAGAGAGTGTTGTAGGCAAGAGGGTTTGGTCCATCTTTGTCGAAAACATCGATGACCCGTTGCTGGACATCCTCCCCTATCCTCTGCGAAACTCTCGTTGGCGCATAGCCATGCCCAATATGAACCGACAATCCACCAAACGTATCTGGCGCAACAAGGAAAAGATCCCGACATTCTTTCACTGTCTCGTAGTACACGACGATATCTGGGGAGAACAATTTGAGGATACCGGTTGCGCTTGGAAACGTTTTGGCAAGCAGAAGGATATGCTGGTCTCGGAGAGGCTTGGTCGGATCGATGGGTTCTGGAACTGGATCGTTCGGAGGTGCTAATCCATTAAAGGGTAAAATGGCAGGCGACCATACCGATGGGAAGATCAAGACTGGTAGGTTGGCAATGAGCAAGGGTAGCCCCTTTTCGAGGCATGCATCAGTAGGAAAGACCACCCAGCATTTTGGAGAGAATGAAAGTGAATCAACGAGCCATGCAGGCAAACGCTGGGTTATCGATTCGGCATTTTGTTTTGTAGCAAACTCGTCGGGAAGCAGGTGTTGATGGTCGATAGTCTGTCGAGAAACGTTAGGACTAGAATGGGCCATACCTATGCGTAGTTTGATGATGGTTGGCGAAGCCTGTCGTAAATGGGAAGCGGATCCATAGCTTTCAACGTGTATCTGTCTTTTCGGATGCTGGAACGTTTTTCTGGAGAGTAGCGAGGAGATTGTAGTCGAGCTCGCGAACTCGAGATTGAGACGATTACGCTCGCTTACTATAGGTGACGAAACTGAACATCATTTTCAGTATTTGGTATGAGAAAAACATACCGAAAATCGGGTTTGTTGCAACGTTGATTAAAGAATGGTTGTGAGCTCGAAGCAAACGAGGAGATGTCACGGTTGGAGAGGTGAAGTTCAAAGCTTCCACTTTGGGTGCTAGCGCTACATCTGGTAGATCCTCTTGGCGATGTTATGTAAGGGCGGCCCCCAAGGTCCCACTACCCGCTCCACCACTCTCTCTCCTCCGCGAACCACCGCCCAACTTCCACAACCACCACAATGTCGACAACCACCACCAACTCCACTCTCACCGACCCCCTCCTCACCCCCTTCCTCTCCCCCACCTTCACCCCCACCACCTACCTCAACCGCATCCTCCCCACGCTCCCCACCCCACTCCCGACCTCCTCCCAACCCCAACTCCCCCAACCCCACACAAACACCCAACGCCACCTCACCTCCCTCGAAATCCACCTGCAAAAGCTCCTCTCGCAACTCTCCACCACCTCCACCACCCTCCTCCGCCTCTCCCCCCGCCTCCAATACGAAACCAAAGTCCTCGAATCGCAAGTCTCGTCCGTCCGCAAAGCCCTCGCCGCATCCACCGTCTCCGCACCCCCCGACATCGTCCCCACCGACGACGACCTCGACGATGAAAAGCCCGTCGTCCCACCGAGTGATCCGAATACGCCAGCGGCGTTCACACATTTGCGCACGCTGCATCTGGTACGGCAGAAGTTGATGGCGGTGCAGCGGCTGTTTGAGAAGGCGTTGAGGTGGAGTACTGAGCCGGCGCTGCCGGTGAATGAGGTGGAGTATATCCTGGCTAGTACTGGGAGTAGTGTGGAGGGGGTGAAGAAGGCGAGGGGGAAGGTGGAGGAGTGGAGGGAGGTTTGGGGGGTGTTTAAGGGGACTGTTGAGGAGGGGCCGAAGGGGAAGGTGTTGAAGGAGGCGGAGGATATTGTGAGGAGGAGTGAAGGGAAGACCGGGATTAAGGAAGAGGGAGAGGAGAGGGAAGAGGTGGGGAGGAAGGATGGACCCAAGGGGGATAATTCGGCACAGACGGCTGGTAGTGGAGTGTATGGGTTGATTGGAGGGCTAGGATGGGGTATTAGAAAGTGAGCGTGTCGAGTCAATGCATGGTTCGGAATCGGCTTTACATGTCACAGTTATGCCACTGTCATCACCACGACAATTCAATGATACCATACGGACACGGTTCGATAATGTGTAAAGTATCATAGGATTAATTGGCATCTCTTTTTTTATCTATTCCTCCCTAGAATCATACCGCGGCACGACTCCCCCAGAATCACCAAACAATCAAAGAAGCGCAAAAGATACAAAGGAAACAAGGAAAATTAAGGGGAAAAAAGGTAATAATAATAAAAACAAGTAAAACGGTAATACAAACTGGCCAAGTATCGCAATACTTTAAGAGAGGAGAATAAGAGATGGGAGATAACCAAAAAAATAAACGGGAATTTCATGGGTTCCGCTCCGACAACGCTTGCCAAATACAGCAGAGCAAAAAGTCAAGAACAAAAACACTCATCGTGGAAATGACAAAGGAAATTGGTAACAAAGGAAATTACAACCGACCACGACCACCGCTACCGCCGCTACCACCACCAGCCCACCCACCAATGCACGTCAACATGGCTACAGCATATGTTTTTCCATACTGTCCATAATCAACCCACCACACCCTCCATTACTATACCTTGCCCTATCTTATACTTCAAATAGTATAAAAGTCTGTACCCGTCCAACGCCCCCAACCCCAACCCCAATTCCTCCCAAATCCCAACAAAAGCAGAAAATAAGAGGACAACAACAACAACAAACACACGGGTAAAAAAAGAGATAACAAAATACCACCATGATCCACCCAAAAGAGAGAAAAAACAACGACTGGCAGAAAGAATAGAAGAAAAGAGATCCTCCTCCAGAAACAACTCCAGATCAAAAACAAAACACTCTAGGCTTCGGTCGTGACACTTGCAGTTTCACTGATGGTTTCACTGACACTTACCTGTGACGATGCATCAGCACTGACAAGTGTCATTTCACCCTCTTCATCCGACCCAAAGACTAAGCCTTGATCCTTCATCATCTCCAAAAACGAATCCCTCAACTGCGCTCTACTTCTCCGCCATTCGACCCATTTCCGACCATGTATTCATGCCTTTTTAGCCTGCTCCAATTCCGCTTCCAACTTCTTGATCACCTTGTCCTTCTCCTCGAGAGTGTCCGTAGCGAGCTGTCCACGTGGGGTCGAGCGTCCGTCCAGAGGAGATGCGGGGCGAGTTCCAGCTGGAGCAGCACCGCCGTTGAGCTGAGCCTGCTGGGAAGTCACCAGCTTTTTGACCGTGTCCAGTTCCTTGGAAATCTCCGAGATGAGAACGTTCTGAGAAACGATCGTCATGGTTTGGGCCTCGAGAAGAGATGTAATGTGATCCAATTGCTCTTGCACCGAGTTGAAGGTCTTGCCTGTTCCGACGCTCTCAGTCAAGGACTTGCTAAGTCCAGCCGACTTGATTGCTGCGGCAGGTTGAGGAGCGGCAACGGGTGCTTGAGTCTGGACTGGAGCTGGTCTTGGCTTTGGCTTCTCGGCCTCAACAGGCTTTGGATCCTCGCGGACTGGAGATGGTGCTCTCTTGACGGCTGGTGGTGGTGCTGCTCTGACTGGAGAGGCTGGTCTCGCCTTGACTGGACTTGGTGGGCTCTGGATGGAGATAGGACGAGAGGATGGGATAATCGAAGCTCTCTTTTGTGTTGGGGAAGTAATGGAAGCGGATGGAGTGGCTGTTGTAGGGCTGAACGTCGACGCTGAGTTGACTCCTGGGGTGGCCCCATCTGCTGAATACAAGGTCTCAAGGTCGAACTTTGGAGGTAGACCGCTTTCACCAGCAAACCACTGTTCGGAGGTGAGACCGGGGGTTCCATCGAAAGCCGGTGGGAAGATGTCGCTCTGGAAAGTCTCTGCCTAATATGGAGGATCAGCTAAACAAATTGATTGCAAGGAATGGACTCACCCTTCTTGGTACAATGAAGGAAATTGGCTCAATGTACGCGTCGTTGCAAGTCTTGTAGGCGCGCATAACCTCGTTCTCGTTGACCTAATTCCCGTCAGAACTTTCCCCAAAAGTGCCCTCAATGTTGATGCACGCACATTCAAGCCTCTGCGAGGAACAAAGGCGATACCTCTCTGAGGCTCAGTCGACTTGTACTCAGACAAGTAGATGAACTCGTCGTTCTCATACTCATAATAACGGATGTTTCCGTCACTGTCCATCGTTAGAAACCATCCTCGGGCCCTGCTGTTACTTGGAACCTACCCCTTGCCAGCCAAATACAAGCATCTAGTACCGTCGTCCCAGAATGGCATGCATACACCAGAAATCGAGTCGAGAGTCTCAAAGCCGCCAATTGGCTCGACTGGGTTTCCAATGTCCCAAAGACCCAACTGTCTATCACTCATTCTGCTGAAACCGGTTGTCGCAAGTCTGTCGAGCTCACCCATCCAAACAACTCTGGAGTTCTTTGCACCTCCGTGTCCAGCAACCTCGTGAGCTGGCTTCTCCTGTCTAACATCCCAAACTCTGAGCTTCTTGTCGCGACAAGTGGTGGCGAGAAGGTTTCCGTTGGCGGAGAACGAGAGCGACTGAACAATATCGTGATGGTCGAGAGTCATCCTAGCAACACCTGCTTCCACATCCCAAATCTTGATTGTAAAGTCGCCAGAGGAGGATGCGAGAACGTTTTCCGCCGAAGGGTTGAAGAGAACGTGTCCGACTTTGCTAGAGGAAACCATCAGTTCCATCTCGAGTAAATATTCCAGAGAATAGCTTACCGGCCGTGTCCGGAGAACCTGGCTAGAGGCGCAACATCCACAATATCCTGGCCTTCTTCGGTGTAGAGAGAGAATTCATCAGGCACCTGCCAGATAAACACCTTTCCATCGTCGGAACCAGATGCGATCAAGCTATCGTTGAATGGAGACCTGGAACAGTAGTCAGTATCCCACGTCGTGACTAGCAGCATCAGTTGTTGGTGTTTGAATCTCCATACCAGTCAGTATCCAAAACGGTAGCGGTGTGTCCTCTGAAGAGTGGAATCTGCTCTGGAAGCTTTCCTCTCTGGTCCAATGGGATAACAGCGAAAGCACCTCCTCCGGAAGCCTCCCAGTTGGCAGAAAGGTACTTTGGGTTGACCTGAAGAAAAGTGAAACAGTCAGAATCGAGTTGTCGTTGTTGTTGTTGCAGCGGCGGACCTCCGCGATTCCGAACGCCGCACACGCCGCAACGAGGGGAAGTTCCTCACCTTGATGATGTTGCTGTCCCACGCATTCTTGGAGATGTGCAAGTTGTCGTAAGATTGCTCCTAATCGCGTCTATTAGTCTCCCGTCCTCCAGTTGGTCTTGTCGCGCGATTCATTTCCATTGACGTACTTTACGAGTTCCCCTTCCAAAAACGTCTACACAGTTACAGTCAGCGATCAATTCGCAATGGTTTGTTCCAAGACGAGGAGGACGAGGAGCGGGCAAGGAGACAACATACGTCTGTACTTTGAAGCTCTTACGAAACGTCCAGCCATGATGAATTTATCGTCTTGGTCGAATGGTTTGTCGAAAAGGAGATTGGATGGGGATCGGGCGGATTAGGTAAAAACGGGTGAGTTGTTCTTTAGGAGGAGAGTTGCGAGTAGTTGGTGAAGTGGTGAAAGTGGTATGAAAGTGGTGAAGAGCGTACGAGTACAGAAATCAGAGAGAGAAGCAGCAAGAGAGGATTGGAGGGAAGATGGTGCTTTTGGTGGAAATTAATGGCGCCGAAATGGGGGGAGAGATTTGGGGGTATTAACTTTGGGTTTGCGGTCTACTCCTGGATGAGGCTTGCGTCTCCTGAGCATCTGCGAGGGGCTAAACGACCCTAACGCTCGAGGCCAAACATCGTTTTGGGTCAAGGCCGCAACACGATCCTCTCCACC